TAACCATGTGCGAAACCAAGGAGGCTGCGGGGTATGTTTGACTGACTGGCAGTCGAACATCTTCAACTCGTGGAGTGCAGAGGTAGCAAACCGCCGCCAGCGGTGGCGACTGGGCGACTTTTGATCTTTTGGTGTGCTGACCATGCAAGTCAGGGCCAGGTCAGTCCTGTTCATAAAGCCACGTCAAAAAAAAAGACACCCCAATTTCGCAGGGCAACCGCAAAATACATTTGACAGTGGAGCAGCTCCATCTAATCCTCATACCACCGGGCGCAAGCACTCCAGATGGAGTTCATAAGCCTTGAGCGTTTCAGCAGCGGTCTTGATCCTATTCTGGAGCCTCAGGAGGTGTCGCTTCCAAAGTCCTGGAAGTTGTAAGAGCTGGCTTCTCCAACGAACACCGTGCTGTCTTTCGCACACACAGAATGAAGTAATATAAAGCATACCATTTGCTCTGGCTCGCTCACGGTGAAAAAGACCTCTTTGGGTCTTCCACGCCCCCAGACCGGACGCTTGATTTGGGAATGCCCTGTCAGGATGCCTTGAATGTCTATCTCACTGGCAAGGCCGCCCTGGATGGCCTCGGCGACTCGGCCAGCCGGAGGGCTGTGTGGGACAGAGACGATGGTGTTCCTCATCCAGGTCAGGGGAAGGAGGGGCAGCTCGGTAGAAGCGATATATACTCGGTGAAAACGAGCACATGGAGGGGGATCCTGTGGTGATTGGCTGGTGGCCAGTGCACTTGAAAGGAGTTTCTATGCTGACATCAAAGTGGAGTAGAAAACGGCGGAAAACGGCAGGTTTCCAGTGCGCAAATCCGCTGTAGTCAAGAGAATGTTACTGTTAGGCTTATATAGATAGGCTCAACATGCTTAGCATGTTTTGATGCTCTTCAAATGCCACAGGGTTGACGTTCTTGCTCAAGTGCCATTTACCTCATCCCATTTCATCCTCTTCATTTCAGTGGCATGTAAGAAAAGGACCTACAGGGAGTCCAGAACCTATTGCCATCCGTGTTGCCGGGCTGTTGACTCCATGTGTCTAGAGGATACTGCTGGAGCACACGTGAATGCAACCACGTGGCTAGATCCCCAACTATACGCCATATATACGTTCAGACTATACGACGCCCCCCAAGACTCAAGACTGGTGATGTGTCGACTCTGCAGCTCGGCGGGGCTTTGGTCGGCCGAATGGGGAAACACACCGACCGAGGTGTTTCGGAGGCCATGGAACAGATTTGGGATGATCACTTGGATGACAATCCAGCCACGAAGGCGCTCGATTTGAGGGGAGAAGAACTGGAGGGAGGGAGAAGGTCGACCGCGAGCGGCGAATCACGGTGGGAGCCTGGTTGGACGTTAGGCCATTGGTATGACATTGATGAGGCCATTGGCGGTGCTGAACAGTTAGGCCAAGCGCGGTTTCAGATCACAGCAGAAATGAGAATATATGTCATATTTATATGTAATTATGCCATGGCCATGGCCTAGACCTCCAGGTCCTTTGGATGTGTTTTCATGGGTGGCAAAGATGTAAAGACTTGAAGTGTTATAGACTTTGGGAATCTTTTAGAATAGACCTTTGAGGATCCCAAAGCACTCTAATTGACCCACCAGTCATCCCATGCAGTGTCTGCTTCACACAGCCAGCCGAGCGCAATGCTCAGACGCAGCTGGACGGGCAGATGCAAGCCATGAAGGACTTGTCCAAGCAGGTTGGTCCGCAGGACCCCTCATGGCTGGTGGCGGTATGGCCTTCGTCACTGGTGTATTGTTTGCCTTGGTCAGATGAGCAATCCTTTGGTGGTAATGTGGTGTTCGTGTGCTGGTGGTTCTTTTTGTTCTCGAGTGATGATTGTGCTGTAATAGAGTTGTATAGAGTTGTGGTACTTGTTGTGAAGGTTTCCAGACCATCCATGTATGGATAGTTACTTATACATTGGGGTGATACTGATGATAAATGGAGTAATTATGTACAGTAAGGTATAGGAACTATTCCATGCATGGATGGTTTGTGGCCCAGGACGGCCCAGGTCATTGAGGGCCGTAGACCTGCACCGATTCAACAGGTCTCCAGCCGCAAGTGTCACAATCTCCTGAAACCTTGCCTTTTTCGGGTGCTTTCGGGCTATTCCTGGGTGAACGTTCCTTGCTGAAAGCTTCGGGACATCTCTTTCATGGCTTAGGAAACCATGTGAGACCCTTGAAAATCCGCCAGCAATTGTGAGGAGGAGGACTTCAAGATGCCTGAGAACCTCCGAGACTTGGTGCACCTCGCGGTGCGGATTGGGACGTTGATGTGTTGGCTTCGATCTTTTCCCCTGAATAACTAAACCGACAGGTTGAAGTATGTTGAAACAGAGGCTCCCTCCACCTGACAGAAGGCTCCCTCCGGGCACACCGGCCTCCCTCCCTCCCCAGGAGAGGCCGTCCGGCTCGCGGAGCGCCACCCAGGCGCGGTCGTGTCAAGTGGCGGGTGAGGTCGATCGGCCACAAAAGGGCAAACAAACCCAGGACCATCCATGGGACTGGAAGTGAGACTGGAATAGATATATGCAGCGCAGTTTACATCGATAATTTATAAGATTTATGATGATTTATGAACGTATTTTTGGGTCATATAATGGGGGCAATGTATGCGTACTATTCCAGTCCCGGATGGATGGTTTGAGAAATGCAGCGACATGGAGGAGAGAGTGAACAAAGAAGAGCGGTCTTGAGATGGAAGCTTTGAGCGCAACGTGAGACTGTGGAAAGCTCAATGAATTGTGACCAAAAAGTTCGCCTTATTTGGATGGTAAAACCTTTGTTAATGATGGGGTTTGCATTCATTAATCAAGAGTCTGTCATGAATTGATTGGAGACTATATACGTTTCTTTCCATGGAGGACGGAAAATCCAGATCCAGCGTGGAGCGACGACAGTCCCATGGGACGTTGAAGTCAATGAGGGTTCCGCGAGTTCTATTCCCTATAAGACCTCCAAGTCATTACCGTTGTTTCGAATGTGTTGGGGTGCGTGCCAGGAGAGTTCAAAAACTTCGAGCCCCATAGGGTTTATATAGTATACGAGTGATACGAGTGTCGCCGTGAGGTTCTTCTATGGACCCTGTTGATTTGGTGATGTTTTGTTGATGGGTCAGTTGACAGGTCCTGTGGAACAGTTGTTCAAAAGGCTGGACATCTGACATCTATATAGAAACCTTCGCGAGACCTCTGTGTCCGTGAATCACCTCTTCGAGCGACCGTCTTGAGTCACGGAGATAAATGGGTTCTGCTCGCCAGAGTGGGCGGTCTGAGTTGCTTTGTCGTGACAAAGGCGGTCGTTCGAAGGACAGGGATTGCTTTTGTGGTCGCCGGGTTGCTTTGTCGTAGGGAAAGGGAGGGATTGCTCTTTCGTTGAGGGAGTCGAAGGAGTCCTGCAGCTACTTCTGAGTTGCTCTCATCCTGCAGGTATCTCTTGTGGCTTGTTTGTGGCACTCATCCTGCCGCTCGGCAGATCAAGAGAGGGTTGCTTTGGACCATGATCTCTCGTGGCATGATAGACTCGGCCGCTCGAAGGCCAATCTCCTACTAAACTAGCTGCTACACGGAGTCTCATTGCGTTTTTCACCTCAGCCACTCTGTCAAGTGGTGAAACTCAAAAGGGGGTCCCGCTCAAAGATCTCAAAGGGCTTGACTTTGCGCCAAAGTATGTCAAAGGTGGGGCATGTGCTCCCGGACTGACCCATAGCTCCAGGCTGAAAGGAAACCATGCAAGACCATGAGCTGCGCTTGGCATCTTCTTTGGAGGATGGCTTAAACCCATGTCAGCCCTGTCGGCTCTTGTTGGCCCCTGTGCTTTCTAAACCTTTGCCTTTGTTCCAAACCAACGAGTTTCACTGGAGGTCGGTCAGCATCAACCTTCGAGAAAGAACACACGATATACTCCCCTGCAAATTAACATGGAACCCCAAAACCACTGGGCTGCAGAGGAAAATGGCCTTCCACGAGTCAATTCTCAGGTTCCATGTTAGTTTTGCGGGAGGCTAGCTTGTGGAAGGCCAGAGCTACCTGGAGTTGCATTGAACGATATTGTTTGCCAAGATCCCGCACCATCGTCAGAAACCAGTTTCGGAAAGCGAGATTGTGAGCATGTTTGTGTCCCAAGTCATCCAAGATCCCAGTCTTTGATGAACCACTACCCCTTTGGCTCGCTATCATGGAATTAGATTGATGGCCCGTGGGAACAAATTGCTTTTTTCACCCCTACCCTCGAGTAGACTGGTTCGAGTTGCAATCGCGATTCTGAGCGTCAGAGGTACTTGATCCTGGCCGTTTACTGCTCCTTCTGGATCTCCAAACGTATCACCGCGCGCCTAGCGAAGAAGTGATCGCAAAGACGCCGACCGCAACGCCTACGCCTGGCGCTGTGGCGAGATGTCTGCGGCGTCTCAAGGGAAAAAGCCCCCGACTGGTCCGGACAGCCTGCCTTTTGTGCTCCAGGTGGAGAGGGGTCGTGATCCACCTGGAGCCCTGGTCCACCATGTAGCGAAGGACCGTCACGTCGGTAGGTCAACCAAGGTCAACCAAGGTGAGTACAGAGTGTTTGGAGTGATTGATTCTAGCATTCCGGAAACATGTGTGCGGTCACGTGCTCTTTGAAAGCAGCAACATGTGGGTAGTTTAGCTTCTTGCATCCCTCTACGCATGCAACTGTAGCACTAATCGTCGGGTCAGTTTGTTAATGTGCGTGGTCCGTATTTGTGGCAATGCCATGGGCAAAGGGAACTCAGAAGATTGCATGATTACTGCCCTTGGGAAGTATTCGGTGGTATGACCAATGGCATGTGAATCGGTTCCAGTACCTGTGGTGATGCATCACTCCACATCAATCCATTGCTGTTCACTTGAAGATGGGGTTTTGAGTATCACATGGTATCCACCTCTACCCCAGCCTGGCTGTGCGATGCATCACTCCTTTCTGCCATCCAGTCCACCAGTCCACCCACCCGTCCAGGTGCAGCTGGAACCTCCACGGGAATATGATCGAGGAGTCGGATGATGTGCGGAAGTGGCTCATGCTTGGGTGTCCCAGTGCCGTTGGAAGGATCCTTCGTCTTGTGTGGTTCCATCTGCCTGAGCCCGTTCAGCAACAAAAAGCATGTGAAGCTACAGAGTGATACCAGGGACCTGATGCTTACTCAATGATGTATGCAAACTTGGGTGCTCCAGTTGTCTACATCCTGTCTCATGTTTCTTTAGTGAGAAGGTGCAGATGCCTTCAGTCAGCAGTTTCCGGGAGAGCTGATGATCCAAACGGAAGACCTATAAGTACACGGCCTGTTCCTAAGCGCTCGGACGTCACTTGGATGCACAATAGAACCCCTATGGCCCATGGCCCATGGCAGACTCCACGTAAGGGGCCTCAGAGAAGACCAGATAAGCTCCATTGGTTGGGAGGCCACGCTGCTGCGAGTGTCGCAGAGTGCCGGTCTCGTTTGTGAGACTTCGAAACAACGCAAGCACACTGCTCCGACTTGAAGTATCCAAAAGGAGAACAAATGGTTAGTTGACATGTAGACTTATATATATAGGACAAGAAATATATATATATATAGAGGATATATACATATAGGATATATATATATATGACATCCAAAAGGACAAGCATTAGAATATAAAGAGAGAGAGACCCCTCAAAGGATTCCAAGACTCCCCTGGAAGAAGGAAGATCGACCGCACCGAGCTGCTTTGGGGTGTCACATCTCCATCCGCAGCTCAGCCCAGCCGGCTCAGATGGCCGCCCGCTCGCGCCGCAGAAAAGGTATGTCGACCTTGGACCTTGTTCTATCGTGTTGTTCTAAGGTTATGGCCCAGCTTAGGGCATTCGTGTTCATCGAGGATTCGAAGAATTCGAAGATTTCATCGATGGTATATGGATCCTTTTTTCTGCGAGTTCTAATGGTTTGGGACCACCAGGTGTTGGCGGTGTTGGTGTGTTTGGGAGTTGGTCTTAGCGGAGGTTGAAGGATCGTCAGAGGCCTGCTCAACCTGCTTCCAGACCAGTTTTTGCAAAAGGATTCGACATAAGAAGGATTTGCTTCCACAGCGGATTAATGAACCACCTTTAGAAGGTTTCTTATTTCGGGGTCGGAGACGACCTGAAGCAAGATTATTTGGGCGTCCCCAAGACCTCTTCATGAGGCGGGATCCCAAAAACTAAATCTCTTCTTACTGCAATTGAAGTTTGAGAAGGGTCGAAGTGATTGGCGCTAGGACCATGGGACCTAGGATACGGGATTGGTGAAATTAAAGAGGTTGAAGAAGGAGAAGAAAGGCCGTTAGGATTGCAATACATATAAATGTGATTAAATGATATTAAATGTGCCCTAAGAAAGGGCTCGAGACTGGGTGTGGTATGTTTATAGGGAGACTTCCTAGTTTGATCCCCGAGGAGGAAGGAACAAAAATATGTTTCCAGGGCCAGCAAATCTCCCCTATCAAAATGCATGCATGCCTATACATCTATATAGTCTAAGAAGCTATTAGCTTATTGTTTCTACTAGCTTCTTGTTGCTACTAGTAAGGCACTTGTTTCTAGTAGCGATGCACTTGTTACTAGTAGCTTTATATACCATTTGCCATCAAAGCCCGAAAGCTTCAGATCCATCCAGCTTCTATATGACCGCCATCCTGCCCAGGCCCGACGACGAGCCGGCGGATTTGGTGCTCGTGGCGGTGCAGGACCCAACCGCTTCGTTCATCGCGGCACATCGGTGGACCGAAACGGCTAAACGGAAAGCGGGCATGGCGTGGTCTCGCCTTCACTAAGTGCTTCGAGGCCACGCAGTCAGATCCTTCTTGTCTAACTGGTCCTGACGTACTTGTTTTGTAATTTGATTATCAGAATATATCGACGCATACCGCCAAGGCTGTTTGGCAGAGTGTTTGGTTGTTTCAGCTTTTGGCATCATTACTTAATGTAGATCTTCCCTATACACATGCCAGGCATAGTGCCAAAGGCTGTTGACCGCGCTCCTTGCAGCTCACTTTTGGGGAGAAAGGCTCCCCACTTCAAGGGACTGACGAGTTCGAGAGCCGCTCACGATGAGTTGCTTGTGACAGACCGGTCTTCACTATCCCTAGGGATCCAAGTACCTTCTCAGAAGGTGATGGGAGACTATTTATGTAGGCCTGGAGGGCCCCAAGTACCTTCTGAGAAGGTATGTGGATCCCTAGGGTATATATTTGGTGGCTCTTGTTGACCAGAGTCCCACCGAGTCCGACCGTCCACCATATCTGCGTGACGCACAGAAACCGACCCTGCAGGAGCTGGTGGATTTGGGGCCAAAGACCGTGGCAAAGGGCCCCTGGAGTGAAGTAAAGAGTACCGGCGGCATGGTGTAGTGGTGTAGAAGGTGCACCGTGGGCATGGGTGGGGCCGGAAAGCTGATCAGCCGGTTTTTCTGTTTATATGTTGCTTTGAGATCCATGATCCCGGCCAGGTTGCATTGAAGTTCTGATCATTTCTGATCACCAATGTTATCAACAGATTGGATAGGGTTGTTTCTGTAAGTCATGGTTGTACGGTTGTACGGTGATTGTCACCATAGATGGCCTGGTCGCCAGAGGAAATGCGAAGGACGGCCCTGCATGTCCCTGTCATTGGGATGGCCTTGGGCCTCCTTGAGCCAATTGGGTGGCGTATAAGGTGTGTCCCACTAGCAGCTGGCAAAAGAATTGTCACGAGTTGAGTCTTCACTAGCCATATCATTCACTGACGCTGGCGGATTTGCCCAACTCGCATCTATATGGACCCGGGTTGTCCCTGAATTCCGCTTTGGTGGCTTAGCCCATTGATTTGCATGCGCTATACTGTGGCTGACAGTGCGCCGTTCCGTGTATAGCCGTTCCTGAGCGTCGCAGGTCGGGGTTTCGGCACCCGGGACGACTGCTCAGGTCATGAATCCCAATGGCGACGAGCAACGCTGGAGACTGAGATCCGCCTGCGGGCGCGTTCGAGACTCGGGCAAGCTTGAGCCAAGAAGTGCGAGATATTGCGAGAGCTCGTACATTCAGTTGAAGAAGGTTCATTTTGCTAAGAAGATGCTGTTTCAAATTCAGAGTCAAACAGGGAGGTTCGAATAGATGTGGGGAGTTTTTTGTTGGGCCGATCCCAGGCTAGCAGTTGGAAGTTTGTGTTTGCGATTCTTGGGACTTAGGCGCTGACCCTGGCCATCATCCGGTAATTTGAACCTTATGAGGATTTGTGAACTATTAAGTGGCATCTCATGTCCACGTTGCTCCCAGTTTCGGTCAAACTGAAACTCATTTCATCGCTTCAACTCCCGTGATGTTCACCCAACAACAATCCGATGGATGGCAATACAACTCCACGACATCCAACACCTCTCAACACCTGGTCCCACCTCTTCATCCTCAGGGCAGATGCTCTTGGAGCGTCGAGTGGAGCCTCTTGGACTGCCCCAACTGGTGCGAGCCCAGCGGCGATGTGGACGATTCCCAACTTTTGAGCAGCTCTTGAACCAATGTGGTCTGGTTGGTGCGCGTGGATGTATGTATATATATAGCTAATACTGTAGTTCTATGTGCTTTATAGACAGAAAAAGACAAAGAGGGACATGCGGATGACACTCTCAGATTACAGCTGCCGTAGGCTACTGGCACTGGGTATGCATCGATGGTAGCTGATGAACACACCCTTTGGCCCCCCGGGTCAGATGGCTTTCCTTCTCGAAGTGAAGGAAGTCACCCATGTCCAACGGGTTTGCAGTCAGTATGACCAATTCTTGTTTGAGTGCAGTTTTCTGATGCTTTCTGAAAGGGTAGGGGAGTTTTATGCGTTTCTTCTCTTGAACGTGTGTCGTGCAAATCTCGATTTTACATGAGTCTACTATCGGACCCTGGTATGAAAACATAGATCTGAGAAGCTCTGCCAGCTTTGACATCGAGCCTGGTCCTGCTTTGACTCCGCAAGTGCAATCGGCGCTTGCCTAAGGCAAGCCTTGTCCAAAGGCCGGCAGTGGGAGGACAAATTCTTTGTCAACCTCAGCAGCGAATGCCCTTCGCAAACCGGCACACTCCAAGCAACAAGAGCGCTGAAGCTTCTTGGAGGTTTTGGAGGAATGAAGGTCCTTTGCACTGGCCACCTTCTTGTTTTGAGAAGTACGACATTTGATGCCCTCCAAAACAACCGCAATGGAGCCTTACGGGAGCTTGTTTCGCCCAATATTTTGCTTAGTTCCGGCCACCGGTGGAGGAGGGTGCCTGTAAGACACCAAGAATAGTTGTGTTGACCATGGTTGACCATCCCGGTGTTTCTATTGTTCCTTTGAGGGGTGAAAATGACCGCCGCGAAAGGGATTTGGAACATGGTTCACTATAGATTACTCAATGTGCCCCAGTCAGAGGCTGAGGAATTGAAGCAAAACATGGACCTTACAGATTCGCATGGATTTGCCCTTTAAGAGATATCACGGAGCCCTCCTGTGAGATGTCCAATGTAGGAATGCACCTGGTTCTTAGAAAGTGACCCTTTGAGATGCTGGGTTGAGGTCCCTGAATCCTCGCAAGGATCACTTCGGAACCCTCACAACGTCGCTTTTGAAGAAGCTGGTAGGTGGGGCATTGGCTCTGTAGCAATACAAGGCTTCCCTACCCAGGCGGGACCGCCTGCAAAACCTTTCTTGGGGAGAACAAGGCGTCCCCACTCAACAGGTGGAGTTCAGGTGTACCGTTCGATCAAACGCGTCCTCGTCGCCTTCCTCCCGTTCGGATGGACCAGGTGGGCGCTACGTGAAGGTGTGCGGCTTCGGCATGGTTGGCTTGGCACGGAGGGCCCAGGATCGGCCCAGAGGATCGGGGCCGAGCAATGGTCCAAAGGGGTGCAAGTTGACTGAGGAGATGGCCTTTGGAAGTGGCAAGTCCTTTTTTTAATGTTCTTTCCATGTATGGTACGGGTTGGCAGGCGGTAGATTCTTCACCCAACCCACCAGCAACAAACCGAACAGAGCCCGGCGTTCAGACCTGCTTCTCACTCACATGCGTCCGCGTTTGCCAATGCCAAGGCGTTGCTAGTTTATATCCAGCCCTGGTTGGCCTGCGGCCTTCGACAACTTCGCATTGACCGGGTGAAGACAGGCGGGAGTTGAAAATGATGTGAGTTCTGCTGGCGATTGATGTATGGACATAACCAAATGGGTTGCATTTAGTCAGATTTAGATGTTTAGTTGTATATAGTATTTGTGTGTATGTGTATGCGTATTCATAATGCATATACATATATTATATATATATCATACATCGGTGTTGTTCCTGGCTTCTACATGTTTGCTTTTCTAATGCATCTTTAGGTAAATCATGTTGAGCGTGACCTATTTGAGCCTCAGCTCTTCTACTGCGCCCGGCGTAGAGACGCCCAGCGCGAGGTTTGGATGGCATGGGCGGCAACAAAGGTGGCGTTTGCGCCAGGTGGGGGCTGAAGAGATGTGAAGAGGGGCAGATGATGACAGGGTCGCCAACCGGAGGGAAGGATGGTCGCACGGGGGTTCTGTTGCGGCGGACGCTTCCCTCCGTGGTGTTTGTAGGTCGGTGCCCTTGCGAGGTGCTTCCTTGGCCTTAGATGCAACGCAAGCAAAAGAGAACATGGCTTAAGCTAAGCTTATCGGAGTTTGGATTTGTTGGGTGGTCGCACCTTAGCTCTACTTCGTTCCATAGTTCTACCATGTTCCACCCGCACACTTCTACAGATTCTTCGGAAGGAGTTCTATTGCTGCTCATCAGTTGCATTGGCTTGCTTGACATGTTCCTGGATGCACGGGTCGCCTCGTCGCCTGCTGGGCGAAGCCGCAAGGTTCCTGTTGGGCAGCCTTTCCGTCCCAGCCTTGGACTGGGCGTAGCCCAGGGACATGATGCAGATGAAGGGGCATGATTCTTTGGATATCGGATATGATATGATATGATATTCAATGCTCAATATTGGATAATATATTATACAGTAATGTCCTATAGCCAATGCCAACGATGAAGGGCATGGAAGGGGCAGTATGCCGCCGGATAATTGCATTCCACCAAGCAAGTACCAGCAAGCTCTCACTGCATGAATAGGTGAGTCATAGGAACCTCTAGAGTCTAGGGGGAGCTCTTACAAATTGGTACAAATTCCAAGATGTTTCAAGAAAACGTTTTTGTATATGCTTTTGATATGTGTTCTTCAACTTGCACGGACTATCAATTCTTAGAGCTCCCGCTGTTCAAGCCATGAACATTGCAGTAATTCTTTGTTTCGTTTTGAACTCCGGGAGTTCGGTGAACTCAGGTTTGTTTGGTGAACGTGCACCTGGCATCCGGACAACATGTGCGGGACCGAGCTGAGTCACAAACGGTCACCATCCGGTGGAACACCCAGCGACGTGGGGAAAACACTTGGCCCAAACAGTGTGGACACACTGAGCTACACGGTGAGTTACTGTCACCGGTTCTTCCGGTGGTCGGGTCGATCGGGTTTGATCGACGATCGGCGGGACCTGCCGGTCCCCATGGACCCGGCACCAGCCCCAATGGGGGCGGCAGTCCGATGGCAGATGGCAGTTTTATGGGTCGTGTTTGGGTTTTGGTGCGTTTCTTTGTTCGTGTTGCCCCCCCCAAAGGCCCAAAGGTGGTTGGGCGCCTGTACCCGAAACGGCAGCATGGAGCTGACGGTGTGGATGAATTGATCCGCAGAGCGCACTTGTGGCACAATGGGAAAAGCACCTCGAAGCCACCCAATGGGGTGGTCAAAAGAGTGGCATGTCCGTTGGACTTTTCGATGCACCAGTCAGTGGGCACTGAGGAAGAGCTAGGCCCTAGGCCTGCTAAGCCCGGAAAGGAGCATATACTGTAATTGGTCCCACCAGCAGGAAGCTAGGTGCGCCACTAGGGTGAAGTGTTGACCTTAAAGCGTCACGTTTGTACAATATGCTTGCTTGGTTTAACGGCGGGCATATGCGGTTTTTACCGGCTTGGTTTCAAGTGAGGGGGCGGTGGTGCACACATCAAATATAATTGTTCTGGGTTCAGCAAACAGAGATGTGTTATTTTCTCATTTTCAACGACCACCGCGAAAGTCGCCAGGCAACCACGGAGAGGAGTCAACATTTGGCACAAGCCGGGCAGCCAGTGTCAAGCAAACAGGTGACATGCACAACTGCACAACATACATCAATATGTTTGACACATCGGCTTGTAGCCTTACAGGCGGCTGCGGCTGTGGTTGCAGCAAGGCGGCTGTAGAATTCGGATTCGTGGTGGAGTTCAGCTATCCCTAGGGATCCAAGGTGCTTAGATTCTACTTATATATAGATCATTTTAGATCCTCCAAATCCAACCAAAAGACCGAACCTTAGGAGGTATTGATTTGAAGCCCTGGGGTATATTTATGTGGGTGAGCCTACTCAATATCCATTCTTTAAAGCCTATCCGGAGGCACAGTGTTTGAATGCCCCGGGCAGTGCAGGACACCAAGACCAAGACCTGGCAAAGCACGACTCAACGCGTGCGTTGTTATTATATGTCACGCATACTTTCAACACAATCCACACAGATCAACACGACGACCAGGATGTTTCCATGTTGGAACCATGTTCTAAAGCCCCTGTACCGTAGGCTGCCTGTCAAACTGCTTTGCTATAAGGAGCTCTACAATTTGCCTTTGGAAGGATGCATTTCTGCAATCTTGTTGCTCCATGCCCTGCTTGAAAGAGCTTGTCTTCCGACCGTCAAGGCTCAAGCAGCCTGTGTAAGAGAAAGCGACCGTCAGACCATCAAGGCGACGCTCGAGGGATACTATCCCATAGGGTCCAGGTACCTCCTGAGGATGGTCCTGGAGGTGAAAGTACTTCCAGAGAATAGATGACTTGGGGCCCTATAGGACATAGTATGACTGACATGACGAGTCCGACGCTGGACTTGCTGAGGTGTTATCCGATGCCTTCCAGGGGACCTCTGCCAAAGGTGTTGGGCTGCCCGGGGTGGGTCTTAAAGACCACCGGTCGTTCCAGCCACGGCATTGGAGAGGTGTTCCACGATGAAGGCGGACGTACCGACTCACCGAGTGAGACTTGCTTGTCTGGACGTAGTTTCAACGGCAAGACTCGTTTGGAAGATAGGTGTCGATTCTTTTCGTCTCGATTCCTTCATGAAGTGCAGGAAGTTTTTACAAAGATTAGATGCTGCAGATGGAAGCTCTGTGGCTTCCTGCAATATGGAGATATATCGGGGATGATTAGGAGACATTTGTTTGTATGTTCACATGCATGCATCTGTGTATGTTGGCTCTCAATCACTCCTCCACTCATTTTCGGTGCTTTACTACGGCTGGGTCCGGCATGTGCAGCTTAGGCCTTGCGCCCCAAGAAGCTAGGCTTCGAGCCACTCAGATAGAAAAGTGTGGGGCAAGTGGGAGGTCGGTTGGTGAGCGCGGGGTTTTGTGTCGATCGCAACTCTTTTGAACACGTGGCCAGGTTTTGCACTTTTGGCTTCCGCCCGAAGAATCGACACGGGTACAGATATAGGGCCTGGGCTTGTACCCTCAAGAACTCTTCTGACCTAGTGCTTGCAGCGGCTTGGTGTGGAAGATCAAGCGCAAGCAGCACCCGGAGTCTACTTAGGAACTCATCACCGGTTGGCCCCGCCGGAAGAATGCACGATGAACATATCTTCAAACTGAACATATCTTCACCCTCAGAGGGACCTTGCCCCACGTTTCAGGGAAACTGTTCCACTGCCTTGCTTCTTTGGGAGGAGGGCCTTGTCCACTGCCGGGGCCTTTGACTTCCATCCATGATTGGAGGGGGAGAAGAGTATAGAACCGGTTCCCAAAAAAAGGAATTGCAAGGAACAGACGCCCCCGGTCTCAACGAACCTTTCCGACGGTCCACCGGTCTCAACGACTGTTTTCCGCTCGTGGATCGCCCGGCATCGGTGGCGACGACCCAGGCGATCTTCGGTGTACCACGTCGAAGCGTCACTGGGCCGCGACGAGGGAGGGGTGCGATGTGGAGAAAACGCACCGTGGCGGGGGGTTCTTGGGGGAGAAAAACGCATCGAGCATGAAGCTGGGAGAACCAGAAAATGCTATTATGGCTGTAGGTCAAGACCTGGACTTTGTAAGCACATCTCATGATCCGCATGCCGCCCTAACCTTTCCAATCCCGTGGAAACGTTGCAAGCACTTCAGACCTACATTGATGATCTCGAATGCGACCCCCCTTTTCACTCCAACCGACCATTTCACCTGCCGCTCCAAGTGCCGATTATTGATCATGAAACTCTTGAATAAATTCCATTCAAACAGAGATGCGATTTTAGTGATAAAATTTGTCGCTTTTTGGAGAGCTAGCCGTGATTTTTCTGGGGTGCGCATTCCTACAGGGCCCTTCTAGAGATGCCGTTTGTGTAAATTACTTGCTGCTTTTACTTCGCGAGATGCCGCGTGGTTAATTCACCGCTAGTTTCTTTCCGTTTTGTTAGTCAAAAACACGACTACCCCACTCTTACCGCACCCGCCCAGAGGGCAAGGGACGCGTAAGAAGCGCCGAACATGCTGCGCAAGACCGACGCCCCAAACCAGGGCAGGTTGACCTCCCAATTCTGTATCATTATGTTCGTTTGCTCTGGTTCAATGATGTCCGCGTGTGACATCTCCAAACACCTATTAATCAACAGTCGTCTACATCTATGGAGAAAAGTCAAGTGCAGGTTCAGATTTTGCTTGACTCTACGATCTCCAAAAACAACACCTGAGGCATGAGCTTTGCATCATCACGGGTGACTTCAACTCGCGGCTGGAGCGGGCTTTTTGGATGACGTCGGCTCATCAAGTCATGGAAGTGCTGAACTCTGTTGAATGTTAGAAAGACCTTGGATTAATTCCTGCTTGAAATGTAGTACCGAGCTTTTTTAAAGTATAGAATTTCAGGTTTCCAAAGCCGGGTAGGGACTTCAAGCGTCAGTTTTATACTGGCTTCCGAAGGATTTGAATCGCATGATGTGTCCATATAGGATCGCAGCCAATGATAGACAATGTAGGAAAACCGAAAACCATTAGGAGTTTGAACCTTTGGTGGTATCATGATTTTGGTGTAGCTTCAATATGAGCAACTTTCAAGCAAGGCATGTTTGAAAAGTATAGATCAGTTGCAACTGGCAGGTCATGATCAATTGCTTCATGATGATATACTATTGGAGTTCGCCTTTCTGAGACACCCTAGAACCTGGATGAAGCTTCGACCTGTGTAGGAGACAAACGTCCTTTTCCATGTGGTTCTGAGTGCATGTCTCTTGGGGCTGGTCGATACAACAACTTGGTCGCTGGACCAGCTTGGTCATTTCTACTTAAATCATTGGCTGCGATTAGAATCGGCCATGAGAAGTAGGAATCAGCCTTATTTACTGATGTGTGTGTGTTTACTCTGGTTATTACACCACCCTAGCACTATACAGCGGAGGATTGTTCAAATTTGCGTTTGCATTATTGTCTACCAGCCTTCATATTGACCATTGAAAGAACAATGACAATGCCCACCAACTTCCTCAGCCAGTCCTAGATCCTAAGTAGAAAGACCGGGAGCTATAAATGGTTCAATCCAGTTTTCGATGAGATCGATCAGAAGCTCGACTTGCAGCCCCTCCGGCTGGGTTTGCCCGACCCCACATCGCGCCGGAGGACTTGCCCAAAGAGGCTCAGTGGCCGAGTGGACCTCAGGAGGCACCCGAAGTACGGTATCGGGGGCACGAATGGAAGTGCGGGGTCCGAAAGCCACGCTGTGAAACGTTTACTGCAAGCCATGGCAGGTATGACTCAAAGTACAAATGAGTGACGGTTTAATTGTTGTTTGCCCTTTTCTGCACTTCTAAAGCAGATATAGGAAGAAGAGGAATCTAACTCTAACTGACCCATATTTCATCGCTGGAGCATGCTGGAGCAAAGCAGGGAATCCCTTTTACAAAGAGACCCCTCTTTTTGCCCTTGGGGTGTCCGGATTCCCTCGGAGGCGTGGCTGGCACGTGACCAGATCATGCTCGGCCAGGCGCCGCCTTTCGCTGGCGTCGGTGCGAAGAGTGAGCTTGGTCCGATGAATGGTCATCCCTACCCTTCCAGCAGTCCTTCCTACCCTTGTCCAGTTGCTAGCACTTTGGGTTTGATTCGTTTTTGGAACCACTTGAAGGCTCAATCTAGTTATTTCACAGTTCATTGTTGGGGCCTACTTTAACAAGATGCACCAGGGTGTCCTTCGGATTTGTTTACTCTTCCGTCATCTTCCGTCCCTTTGATTGAAGTTTGGCCCCAATTGACTGGTAGTTTGGGTAGTGGGTTATATAAAAGTCATCACCAACTACAGTAGTTCAACATGTTCTTTTTCGAGTTTGTCCTGTTACCTGCAACAGCTTAGCTTAGCTAGCGCGAGTCTCCATGGCAGGTGTCAAGCTTGCGCGGCTATCGAGAAGGCTCCATCCGCGGCCGAAACTGCTGGCGGTTGGGGGGGGGTGAACAGAGTTTGATGGCCTCTGTAGTTGATTGGAACCAATTTGCACCCCCCTTCTAGGGCTGTCCTGATTTGATCCAACCATACCAATCCCACCAACAAGAAGCATGGTTTTGCATTTCGATTGTCTCATAACCGCATTGTCCTGTTGTGGATTTATTTTTCGAAGACTAGCTCCAGTAGCAGGAAATTCGAGTCGCGCGAACTTCCGCGACTTGGCAGGAGTCATCACCTTTGCTCCAACCTACAAGTACAAGATCGGTGGCGACCTCGGGATGGCACTAGCAGTATAGGGCTACGTTGAGCAGATTGGATTCCAATCATTGTGGAACCCTTTGGATCACAAAAAACAGCCATTTGGTACAGCCGAGCAGTTTTGGAGGCTCACGAGCAGCTCGAGGCGTGGCGCGACCCCCTCAACACTGCGCATTCGCCCTGAGGCACCGACGCCCTCAACACCAAGCGCGCACCGGCGTGGCACGGGCCACAGGTCCTCGGCAGGTCCTCCGTGATGGAGAAATGCATGGGACATCATGGGACCACATCCATCGCTATTAGGTTGGAGGCCATCGCCGCGAATCGCCTTTGGGGGCCATCACTTGGTTGGAGGCCATCGCTCTTAGGTTGGAGTCCATTGCCATGGTTATTAGTAATAAATAGGGTAGCGCCTCCTTTTGGCGGTCGAAGGGGTGTCATGGAGGGCGGGTTCTGGTCCCTATCACGCCAGCAAGAAAGCAAGCAAAGGGGATAGATTCCAAGTCATTTTTCACGAAAGTGGGACACCCCATCTATGGTAGAGGAAAAGAAACGGCCTTCCTTAGCTTGAAAGGTACACTTCCATGATGGATTTCCAGTGTTTTTCCTCGTGTTTTTCCTTCACCCGTCCAACCCCGATCATCTTCACGTCGCTGAGGTGCGACCGCGTGGTGTTCAAATCCGAGGCTCCGTGTCAGCTGCAGTTGTTGGAGTGCCTCGGCCGTCGCAACAAGTTCGGCTGGTTTGGAAGCCAGTCGTTCAAGTGCCCAAACTTCTGGTGTGTTTGTAACTTTCAGGAGGTTTCGCCAGGGTCGCAAAGCAGGACAGTATACATTACACTTTACATACCATGTTTATGACATGATTCTTGTTCCCCAGATAGCGAAGTTATGGGGTTCTTACTTCAAATAACAATGAGTTGCTGAGTTGCCCGTGCGCGCTTTCGAGACAGGTTGCTGGTGCTGGGTGCCGGTGCTGGTGCTGGTGCTGTGAGCTGGCTGTGTATGTGGTGGAGACAGGTTGCTGGTGCCGGTGCTGGTGCTGTGAGCTGGCTGTGCACGTGGTGGAGACAGGTTGCTGGTGCTGGTGCTGGTGCCAGGTGCCGGTGCTGGTGTGCACGTGGTGGAGACAGGTTGCTGGTGCTGGTCCGGGTGCCAGTGCTGGTGGTGGTGCTGTGAGCTGGCTGTGCACGTGGTGGGGACAGGTTGCTGGTGCCGGTTGCAGGTGCTGGTGCTGTGAGCTGGCTGTGCACGTGGTGGAGACAGGTTGCTGGTGCTGGTGCTGGGTGCCGTGCGCCGGTGCTGGTGCTGTGAGCTGGCCGTGCACGTGGTGGAGACAGGTTGCTGGTGCTGGTGCCCGCTTCTGACAGTGAAGTGATAACAACCGCCGCTTCTGACAGTGAAGGGTAACAAACCGCCGCTTGCAGCAGTGAAGGGCGACCAAGCGCCGCTTCTGACAATGAAGTGCCAGCAGTCATGGGCCGCATAAATTTTTGCACGCAACATCATACGGTGTTGTCGCTTGAGCGTTCTTTGTCTATTAGCGCTGTGGGGTATTTGCAGTTCTGTTTTGGCCGGCGGCTGTGTCAAGGGCTGTACTGTTTGCGCGCATACTTTTCTACGTATAATGTGTTCTATGCGCAACGTCAGGCTCTCAACCGACCATTGTTCCAGCATGTTTCAGCATGCTACACACACAATAGTCGTGCTGGATACTGCTTGGCCTTGGGCGAGTGAAGCCTACGGGCTTTGTTTGCCGTTTGTGCGCATACTTTTGTGCAATGAACTTTAACGTGCAAGGTCATACGGCCTTATCGTCCTGCAGATCGTTGCTTCAAGCATGCTAGAAAGTCAATAGTGGCGCTGGATACTGCTTGGCCTTGGGCCAATGACACTTACGGGCTTTGCTGTTTGCACGCATACTTTTGTGTGCATAAACATACATGCGCAAGATCATACGTTGTTATTCCCCAAATAGGGATAGCTATGGGGTTCTTGCTGCAAATAAGAATGAACTGGCTGCGCTTTCGAAAGGGTGTCGGTGCTGGTGCTGGTTTTGGGTGCTGGCTCTGTGAGCTGGCAGCTGGCTGAGCGCGCCTTTAAGACGGGGAGGTGCCACAAGCTGGCTGTGCAGGCTGCGTGCATTCTTGCTCCAGCCAGTCGCATGTCAACAGGTCGTGGGATTCTGCCTAGCTATTTGGGTCTATGCTGGTGTAATTTTTTTCTACGACTGCCCTCGTGCTGCGCTGTGTCCACGAGGGCACATATGTCGTATAGATCCGGGTGCCACAACGGCGGGGCATGGAGCTCTGGTCGTTTGGTTCGTCTCGGAGCCTCCGGTGGACCCAGGGTGACTGAGAAAGGCCGACGTCGGGGTCCGGGCGTCTCCGGTGGTGACGTTGAGAGTTGAAGACTGGTGCAATTGAAACGCCCCGAGGAATCATGGTAAACGTCATGCCACTGGAAACGGATGATTTTTTTTTCTGTATGTTTTCTTAGCCTGGCTGTTGTCAGGCTGCTCTGTGAGTGTCAGGGTGCAACCGTTTGATTGTTAAATCCTCACGTCCCGACGCTCCACGTACAGAATACATACATTGACGCATGTACATATATATATATATCTCTCTCTATCTATCTATCTACTATAGAACCTGGTTGACCCCTGTTTTGGAGCCAAAACATGTTTTTTTCCTATCAAAATAGGGATCAGTTGGGTTCCAGGTATGTATCCATTTTGACCCATCTTGACCCCTGAAATCAACAACCCCTTTTCTATCCTTTTTTGATCCACAAATGCATGTCCCAGCCAGGTGGTGATTTCATATGTTGAATCAAACAACTGACCGAAAAGCCACCATTAACATCCGTTAACAAATCCCGAAAAACAACCCGGCAAAGTAGCTGCTAGAGAGGTCCGGCAGGTCCCTCTCCCGGGCGAACTGGGAGAACCGGTCGCAGCGAAGGTATGCTTCTCTCCCTGACCTTCGCTTCACCAGTGCTTCTCGCCCGGACCATTTTCCAGCCACGGTGACGGAGTCTGCTTGGGTTGAATAAGCAGAACCAACACCGACCTTCACGGGAGAGTGTGCTGGACTCAACTGTCCAAATGTTGGAAGATGTTGAGGAGAAAGAACACGAGCGTGTTCTGTTTACGCCACACCTTCTCGCCATTTTGCTGGACTCTTAGAACCGCAGCTCAGCTCGAAAGTGTGCGGTTGGACCCATCCGGACTGGGGGTTTGGGAGCCCCGGGGCGGTTTCCTCCTTGAGGTTGAGAGAAAGAACGTGTTGCGATCAGAAACCACCTGGCTTCACCGTTTCGCGCTTCGCTCGCCGCAGCTCTCCGTTGGCGGTTCGCTCGCCCGGAACCTTCGCACGCCGTGCTTCGTGGGGCGGGAAATCGCGCGCTCCCAGGACCGGAAAGAAAGAACCGGCTCCGCTAAAAGCGAGAAGAATCTGAGTGTTGGAAGTTACAGCATTTCAATATATCTATGAGGCAAGAGTCATGAGTCATATTCTTGAAGTTCATGAAGCAAAGAAGAGGAAGCAGATCGATATCTCAGTGATTTGTGCGAGATCTCAGTTCACAGAGCAGTCTCAGCGCAGTAGTGTTCGAAGAACATTTGCACACATGCCACGCCAATGATATGCTTGTGTACGAGTGTCATACCAGTAGTGCTTGGTTATATAATTATATATTTGTTCTTTAGATTACAAAAAAATCTGGTGCCTTCGAGTAGTATCCCAGTGGGTAGTGAGGTCAAAATCAATATAACTATTTAGTGGTGATGATGGTGATGCACTGCATCACAATATCATCTTATTTGCATCACGGAATGTTCAGGTGACCCTTCATCGCCCAAAGATGAATCACCCTTGTTCATCACACATATTCATCATATGATTGTATTGATGTATCTATCCAGTAGGTGTGAATGGAGAATTTCTGTGTTTTTGAAATTGCCTATACCTGCCTTGCTGAGAACCACAACTTGTGATCACTCAGACGTGACTTTCTTCCGACTCACGGGCGGATCACTCACGGCGCTCGTCGGGTCCGAGGATCATCATCCGGTCACTGCGCTCTTTGAAGTCGAGTAAAAAGGAGCACGTCGACGGCTGGCTCGTTCGGCTGGTCAGCCGTCAGCGTTGGTCTTTTTTGTTGAGAAGCTAGGAGGTGCGGAAATGGCGTTGCCATTCTTGAAGAATCTTGAAGATATTATATAATTCAGGTTCCAATTCCAACTCAACTAGAATTGTTTGCTGTCAGTAATGATTTTCGGGATGCCGGTTGATCGTCAAGACCCTGCCAGTGGGGATGGTTGGGACGCAGAACTTGAGTGGTTGATGTCCGGAGGATGATTGGATCCATGCCCACTGGGTATACCTTGAATTGGAAGGATGTGGAAAAGGGTATTGCATTGAACTACAGGATGTAGACTCCTCTCAATAACAACCCAGGCTGCCTAGACCCTCTAAAGGATCCCAGAACAGGGAGCCTTGTGATCAGTGATGACCCAACGACGGTACCCATTTCGATATTTCCAGCGGCTGGAAGGCTTGGGCCCAAGAGTCCTGACAGCTGAAGCGCTCACGCAGCGGGTGCCTTTTGCGCCGATGGCAGAAGACATCGACTGGGACGACTTCGATGATGATGAGGACTGTCGGTCGCCATTCCGATGGAGATAGGATATGGGTCTCTCAGACGCGACCATTGGTACGGAGCGGAAAAGTGGAGAAGGTCAGACACAATGAATACGTCCATTTGGTGCCATGATGGACTTCTTCGTGAATGATGCGGGCTCGTGGTTCAGAACAGCACAAATCGGACCATGACCATTGGGCAAATGAGTTCGAAGGTGCTTACTCCGTCATTGAGGGGATCAGTTGGGAAAATGATATGCACCTCCCCGCAGAGCAACATGGACCCTGAGAACTGAGCCGTGGTTTTTCGACCATTTTCCTCCAACAAACCGACGTGGTTTTGGAGGTATCCATGCCCCCCCGGAGCGCTTGAGGTTCCCTATTGAGTGACCAAGCCTGGCTGTACCGAGCTCACTTCGTGACCTTACTGGTTGATTGCTGGTTTCACCACGCCATCTGGACAACCGGTGTTGTCCAGATACCACATTGATCCACATTGTATATCCGACCTTTGATCGCAAGTCTTGTAAAATCTGTTAATTGTCCTCATGAGGGAATGTCCAGGACCCTTTTTGGTTCTTGCCCCCCTTGCCGAATAGGAAGAGCTCGGGTGGTCAGTGAGCTATTTTGCGATTTGCATCCTCATGCCGACGTTCAACGGCTTCATCAACGGCTACTCATGGTCGGGCTATGCCTTGCACTACACCAGCATGGGCTGGCCTTTGGCCAGGTCCCTTTGGTGGGGGTGGTTTAAGTTCAGAAGTGAACTCCAAAAGGAGGACATTGGGTTTGCATTTTACTACGGGGACTATAGTTTGCCCGAGAGGTTTATGGGAGCTCCCCCTATCCTTTTGCACAACAACCCTGGCTGGGCAATGACACTGTCTAGTTGTGCCTGGCTCAAATGTCAAAAGCAGAAGTGCAAAAGGCATGCCCAAGCCCACTTCAAACGCGCAAAAGGAGCCTGCAAATGGTCTCCAGGTGGCTCCTCCAGACACACGCACATGACATGCGAAAACGGAAGGCTCAAACCAATCAGTCATGATAAATATATATATATATAACTCTGATCACTTTCTTTTATAAGGAATTCATTCCTTTTGGCAATCTGGCCAATTTGCCGTTTTGCTGTGATGTTGCTACATGGTGTAAAGAAGAAGACAAACAAAGCAACATTTACTTCAAAACGGCAGACCGTTGGGAGTAGTTCGGGGGATCATATATATATATATATATGTGTATGTATATAATATATTACTTAAAAAAACATCAGATAGGACGATGGTGCTGTCGGAGCCAGGAGTTTCTGTTCTTCCTTTTTTGGGGTGCAGAGCGCTAGTTGGACTTCCAGACTCCAAAAAGCAGTGCTGCACTTGGTCGCCATGGGCGCCCCACATCCTCAGTGAACCGGCCGTCCATCCTGCCACACTTGCCCCCAGTATTTTGAAGGTCCGTGGCATTTAAAGCTTAACAGCTAGATGGTGGTTGAAGGCTGTGCACATACCTGGTCTCTTAGATGTGCCCAAGATCTGGGGGGGGTGCTTTTTTGTGGATGGTAGGCCCTCCTTTGAGGGGTTCAACAACCACCCAGGTCAGGTGCAGCTTGCCTTGTGGGCTTCCTCATACGACCTCTCTTTCAGCAGATTCAGATCCGTTTGGGCTTCTGGGCGACTTGACCTATAGTAACAAAGGGCATCGCTACTAGCAGCAAGGACGCTACTAGCAGCTCCTGGCCTTACTACTAGTAACAAGAAGCTACTAGTAGCAAGGAGGCTATCAAGTGGAGGCCACTGCTAATAGGTTGGAGGCCATCGCTACTAGTAACAAGAAGCAACTCGTTTTAGAAAAAAACGGGATCACCAGCTTCCCTTTAGGTGACCGCAGTGCGGGAGCGTCCCCCAGCATGCGCGAGCCTGACATCGGGCCCCGAAATCCGCGGGTGATCTATATAACTCCATGGCAGACTGCGGTTTCCTCCTCAAGCGCTTTTCGTCAAGGTATATAACATTACATACTGGTGTACATACATACATATATAATATATATGTATATATATTTTTATAAGTGTTGATTCTTTTTTCCCTTGGGTGTGTATTTGACCGCATGGCCAGCCATCCCCATCATTGGACGTAAAAGCTCCGGTTTGTTGAAAGTCGCTGCCCTGTCACCTACATGTTGTTTTGTTTGTTCCGGAAATGGCCTTATGTCATAGGCCGATGCTGGTCCTCCAGCTCATCTCCAAAAGAACAGCCCGGTGGCATTTGTGCATATGTTTGTGTATTTTGCTTTGAAAGATTGCATCTCATCCAAAGACCTAAGCAACGAATTGCCTGAAGCAGACCCAACGACCGGGACGCTGTAGTTTCGTGGTGCTCGGGGATGATGTCTAAGACACTCCAAACCCATACACCACACCGTCGTGTGCGAAGTGGATCCAGGTCATTATTCCATTGAGTTTGCTACATTTGATTGGGGCGATTTTGGGGCTGATCTACACGACTCAGGAGCCATGGCGCGCTGTATGTTTGGTAGTTTTCTCAGTTCTCTTCAGGATTCTTCAGGTTGTTTGGACATGTATGATTGGTGAGCCAAGCATTTCAAGTTTCTGCAAAAACGACCCTTTGAAGATGTCCAGTGACCACGGCCACGGACTCGTTCGCTGCGCTGTGGCGGCATCTCAGAACTAAGTCCAAGCTGTTCCAACTCTTGCAGTGTCACTTCGTGTGGAGCACAGGGTTCTCGGGATGCAGCTGTCTATGATGAAACTGAACACTGCCTGTCAGATTCAAGAAGGCTTAGATCAGCACTTTGCAATAGATTAGGACATTCCCATTCAGAGCGCAAGTGAGTTTGCCTTCTTTTTCATCTCTCCCTCTTCCAGAGGCTTTTTCATTTTCCTTTCTTATTATATTTGATTGTTATGCTTCTTCCCATAGTGCATACAGCGTGAAGGCATCATGTCATGTATAAATAGATGTAACATGATGTAACAACTAAAATCAATTTTGTGCTAAAAGTTATGCCGATGTCCTTTTCCTCCCTGGTGTTAGCAAGTCAACACATCATATGCCGTCAAACGCTGGAACCTCGACCTTGAGAACCGCTGGTTTTTCAGTCTTGCGCCGTTTGCGGTACGAGGAGTGGGCTGTGAGCCTGGAGATGGGCAGCTGGATCGCCTTCGAGGCGGCCATCACCATCGAGGGCTTGGCCTTCGACGTCTTCGGGAAGTCGGAACTCCTGGCAAGGCAGGCCTCATCCACTCTGTGACTTGGCGGATCTTGGTGGTAGGTGTGGGATGAGCTGGGCGTTCGTACTCCCAGTTCGAGGCATGCTCATTTTCATCCTCGTTATCCTGTTTTTCCTCCTCCTCCTCCTCCTCCTCCTCCTCGTCACCATCACAAGCCGTCGCCGCCGCCACCGTTACCACGAGTAACGACAAGTATACACCCCCCCTCCAACAATCATGCCCTTGGAAGACTTTTTCCCTCTATCAAGAGGGGAGTTGTCCACTGCCGTGATTGTTGCAGGGCGAGTGTAGATGTTATATTTTGCCAAGTTGGATCAGTATCATTGATTTATTTGTGGAACTTACACCGCGAAAACATAATTTTCTCTTCGGTGAGGGTGACCTAGCAGCTTCAAAACGTTGAAATGTTGCAGGAAAATATGATATCTTTCTGACAAGATGGCAGACATATGAGATGAGTATGGTACACGGTAAGTATGATACACAGACCAGCACCGTATTGTGACAGGTGTTGCAGGTGGTGGGCCCCGACCCCAAAGACAAGGCTTCGATGGGTGACGGTGCCTGTTGGAGGATCCAACTTGACCTGCAGTTAAAGCATGTTAAAGCCTCCTTGTTCAAGAGCATCTCTAGCGGGAACGGTCAGTTGCAAAGTCCATAGCATTATGGGCATGGAGTTTGATTGGTGCCAGCATTGCAGCATGGCACCAGAAGTTGATGGAGATTCTTTTGGGGAGCTTGGAGAGTGAAGGCCTTTCTGAAGCTGCTTGGGGGTTTCTTCGGGATGGACTTCACACCGTATAGCAGCTCCCGTCGGCCTGGACGGACGCTGACGCGTCGCTGCGTCACGCGAGGTTAGCCGTCTTCACCTTTGCGTGTGCCCTAGGCGTGACGATCGGCGGGATCCTCTACGATTTCGCTGGCTGGCAGGGCATGTCCATTTTCCATGTCTTTTGTCAGGCTTCGCTGGTCTTCCTGTTTGCTTCTCAACCTTCATGCCGGCAATCTTTTGGAGAGTTCTTCGGCCACCAGGAGCTTGAAGATCCGGACGATGAACTCTTTCAGCGTTGCGAACCCACTTCCGTCGTCCCGGTGGAACCCCGCCGAGATCCTGCCACCGATTTGGTCGTTGAAGACATGGAACTTCCAGGCACCGTTCGACCCGCGGAAGCCGCGGGCGCGCGAACGGACCAGACCCACGCCAGCGGCGTCTCAGCTGGCCGAACCAGCGGCATGTCGAAGGGTCGGCAAAGTGGCAAGTCGAACGACTCTGTACCGCGGCAGAGCGGGAAATCCGGCGTCTCGGCTCGTAGCCGGCGAAGCGGCCAGTCTGAGCAGACGGGGCAAACGGCTTTGACAGCCAAGACTCCACAGAGTCAGGCCACTGGCAGGAGCGCCAAATCCAATCAGAGTCATGTCAGCATCCCTGGTTGGCATATGTGGTGGCCTGGCAATATTGTGCATGTGATGTTTATATATATATATATGTGATATATGTTCCTTTGCACACTTAACTGGGAACCGCACGGCACGTACAAAATGACTCTCCATGAGTCATTTACGGTTCATTTATTTAAAACATATGTCCGGAACGTGTCGAAGAGTAACATCAAGAAATGGTCATACTTATGGAGACACAAAACCACACAAAACCACATCATGCCAATTACAATACCTGGGGGAGAGACAAAACAACATGTCAGACATAGTTGGAACATTTCTGGGCGAAGGTCATTTCATAAAGGACTGCAATCCTTGGTTGCCACATGAAGCTGATCGTGGAGACTCGCTTTATGGAGAACAAAGTTTCTTCGCAAAGTGAAGTTGGGCATTCCAATTTGATCACTCGCCGCACCATGCCGTGCCTTCATGTCAAAATCCAACATACAAGTGGATTCAACATACGAGTGGATTTATGATGGTTTGGATTATTTAGATATCATATAATGAGAGATTATGTTTAAAACACATGTAAGAAACCAGTATTCGCATGTCCCTTGGTCAGTGTCACAGACAAGTGTTAGCCCGAAAAGCATCAGGCCCAAAGAGAGTTTCAAAATCACATGAAAATCTCCGGGCCGACTCGATTCGATGTTTTGACACAAACAATTCTCAAACACTATATGACTATATGTAGTGTATATATATATATATATCTACAAACGTCAAACAGCTGAAAGAAGCACCTCACCTGGTCACTCCTCACCCCTCCTGAGGCCGGTGCGCGCTTCCGTGGCCTCCCAGGCGTCCCGCTTGACGCGGCGCACCCTGAAGACCGAGGGACCCGGAACGGGCTCGCACCGGAGCAAGAGCACGAAGAGCTCGTCGATGACCAAAGGTGCGGGAGACCGTGTGGATGTGTATGGGGGAGAGTGTGGATGTGTATGGAAAGAACGGGAGACCGGCACCAACAGATTCTAAAGACGAAAGATCTATCCGGCACCATGTGTTTTGTAGAAGCACCGTGAAACCTGATGCAGTGATCTCAGGAAATTGGACATTCTCGACCTGGGGTCATGGGGACGGGAAGTTGGTGTTGCTTTTTCCTTCTCGGGCGGGAGAGGCTGAAGGTGAAGGCAAACAAAGGGAGATGGGCGGGATGGATGAGGCAGGGTGGGTGAGTAAGATGTTTGTTGCTGGTTGTTCCAAGTCGACAAATTTGATTTGTGAGGGATATGTGGAGGGGCTGAAGTGTTTGGCATTTGGCCGAGGGGCTGGGGTGTGGAGGGTGCTGAGGTGGAGTGCAGAAGTTCACAGGTTGTAAGCCATTGTTGTTCATAATGTTCAATTCACAGGTGGTACCAAGTTAAATCTCACACACTTGGCTTGAAGATCTTTGGGCGGACGTTCTAGCCCGTGTGTTTACACTCCCCTGCATGGCTAGTCATGGTGAATGGCCGCGATGGCGATGGCCCCGAAAGGATGCCCATGTGAACACCAAACAGGTGGTGAACTCATGTGAACTCAAGAACACCACGATTGGAAACAAGGGAATATGCAAATGTTGATTTTCCTTGCTATTTCTGACCCTTCCGCTTGCCCATGTAAACCACTTCCCTTTGGTAGTGAAAATGGCTCATGAATGTTCATGAGTTGCATTTTGCCATGCAGAATCAGGGGTTTTGGCCATGCAAGACATGGGAAGGAACGTGAGAAGTGAGGAGATTTCAAGACCCATCGAACCAATACCCTGACTGAGGCCCCAGCAAAGCCGCAGAGCAAAATTGTATATATACTCTGGAAGATTAACCTGGAATCTCAAACCACGGGTTTGTAGAGGAAAATAGTTGTTTCACAAGTCCAGTTTCAGGTTGCATATTAATCTTCCCATATATATATATTTACTGTATGTATAATGTGTATATGTGTATATTTATTTATGTACATACATGTTTTAGATGCATCCCGAGCGCAATCTATCCATATATGGACGGACCACCTCCCATGATTCCACCTGAGGCCACCTCAGACTGGTAAGCCCAGCAGTTTTGCGGTTCACAGGGGCTGTCGGACGGCAAAATTGCTTCTTCTCGTTCCGTGTTTCACTGTGCTTCTACAAGACCGTTTCGCGTTTGAAAACGGTGGTGGTTTCACCGGGGAGGACATGCGCTGATTCGCGTCGGTGAGGCACCTTCCTTTCACGTATCACTGCCTTGACCAACCTCAAAGACTCGGAGAACTTCCAGCACGGTTTCATGGCGAACAACGCGTTGCGACCCACAGTGGCCACACGATTAGGTGATCAAGACCACCATTTTCAGGCAGGGGGACTCTTGGAATGCCAGGGTTTTGTGGATGGTGGGACCTAGGGATGCCCTAAGGGTTGTTCCCTTCCCAGCAAGCTACAAAGAATGCATAGGGTCCAACTTGAGCACAGGTTTTTTATGGAGACCCTGCCATCATCATCCAGGAATGATAGGTTTGATGTGCATTCGATTAATATGAATATGGTCCTTTCTCTACCAGAAATCATCCAATGTTCTTGCGGGCCATCTTGGTTAGGACAGGTCACTCACGATGTCGCCAGTTTCAGGTGGATGGGACTGAGAGTGAGGGCTCGACCAAGTCTACCAAAGGCATTCCAAAGGATTTGCGGCTCCCAGCGTTCTTGGTGGTGCTGTGCTGCTTCAACAACAACCTCAGCTATGTTTTTGAGTTCAGCACCTTTGCAGTGTTTTTCAAAGAGTACCATGGCTGGGACGCAGCCATGTGGGCGAGCTTCGCCCAGACTGCAGGAGACTTGACCGCAGCCATCATGATGAAAGCGCTGGGTGCTGCGACGGATGATGATGAAGAAGCAGGAGTCTTGCGTCGGCTCATGAAACAGCCCTACAGCTTATCCTGCTTGGTTTTTCTTTGGATCCTTTGCAACCTGGGCATGACCAGCCCTTGGTTGCCATTGGCAGTGACAGCGCAGGTGATCATGGGGACAGTGTACGTCTACACCTCCAAGCTCACGACTGACCTGAATCTCTTCTACTCCCTCGGCGACCAATCCGTCTTCCTTTCCCTTCAGGTGTCTAAATGGGCAAGCCGCTGCTGGGGGTAGGGTCAAAGATTGCAAAGAAGATCAAAAGGTCCTAGTAGCGTCTTGTTTAAATTCTAATTATTCTAGTTATAACTATAATTATAATTTAGTTCTAATTCTAATTTATTGTTTGTTTCTAATAGCTTCTTGTTACTAGTAGTATGGCCAGGAGCCCCTAGTAGCATCCTTGCTCCTAGTAGTATGACCCACCTGTCTTCTTTCTTCGGAACCTTGTCATCCGAAATAGTCGCGCGGCCATACCATCCACGTAACCACCATGTGTTTCTTCCAGGGTACGTTGAGACCTACGACCTTTGAGGTCACCAAAACTTCAAGTCCTGCAGGGTGTTGGTCTCAAAGGTAGGTCAAGCCTGGTAGGAAGCCCCACTGAATCAGGAGGCTAAAGAGTGTATTTGGACATCATCATGGGATTTGCCAGGAACATATTCTTTCAACCATGTCCTCCCTGGCCGTGGAGGACGGCTGTGGATGGCTGTTGCGATGCCTGGGCACTAGCACACACCACATACCTTTCCGGGCCCAAACGGACATCGAAATCTCCAAAAGACGCCCCATTCTATGCGGCTGTTCTACCACGTTCCACCACGAGTTCCATATGATGTTCTTTACAGAGTTCCATGGTGTGAGTGGATGTTCTGGGCACCCCGAAAACCTTCCAAGTTCAGCCCCATGTGCTTCCAAAATTCTTTCTGTCGTACTTCTGTGTTGCTGGGGTGCCTGGCCTGAGCCTAGCTCACTGCACTTGATGGCCCATTTTCCGGGTTTTGCACCAATATGGTTCCGAACTGGATGATTTCCTGACTCAAAATCCCCCAAAATTTATCCCAGAAATGCTCCGATCAGGTCTATTGCAAGAACGTGGAAGCCATGGGTGGGTGTCTGGCCAGCTTTCTAGGGCCCCTCCTCTTCGAAACGGTCTCGCCCTTCTTCCCCTTCTTCGTGAGCACCGCCTTGTCGACCGTGACCTTGGCTGAGCTCTTCTCGGTACCGAACCGACCCTCGGGGCTTGGCCGAGGGTCAGGGCCGTGGGGGCCGTGGCCGTGGCGAATGCCGTAGAGAATATCCGGGTGAACCAATGGGGGAATGGGTCATGGTCTTGAATAGGGTACCACCTGATGAACGCTCGAAGAGGATGGCCCACCCTCTTCGAAGTGCTCATTTGGTGCGTGCATGGACTATTTTTCCCGAATGCGTAGCGAAGGGTTCTCGTTTAACTCTGGGGGTCTGGGGGTAGAGTCTTGTTCGCGATCCGTTGTTTCTATGTTCGCAACCGTCCGCAACCGTCCGCAACCGTTCGCAACCGTCCGCAACCGTTCGCAGTAGGACGCTAAGGCGCTGCCATTGGGGGAAGCTTTTGCAAGTGACTTTTCATGGATGTGTCACGTGTCAGTTTGCGACGCTATTCCATTGTGATTTGCATGAAAATGACATGTCGCGCAAGAAGCGTGATGCATTTCGCTGCACAGGCGCAGTGGTTTGAGAGATCCGCAGTTTACTGCGCAGTTCCATTGGGATTAGCGTTTGGAGAGTCGTGTTTTTGGGGTGTTGGATGTGGCCGTGCCATTGGGATTTTGCGTTTCAGGGTGTGGCATCGAAGCTCTGTTTTCGTGACAAGTCTCAGCTGAAATGGCGATTTTGGTGGATGGGAGTGTGCTCAGAACGGGTCGAAATCATTCTAAACGTGTGGTGTGATGCAAATTTTGTTGAAGCTCACGTGAGATGATATTCTCACTTTTCGTGGCAGGCACAGTACTTTGTGCTGATTTTGAGGTGTGGAAGTGCGATTTTCGTGGCAGGCGCAGGAAATCGTGAGGTTGCGAGGTGTGACGGAGGTGACATTTCGTGGCAGGCGCAGTACTTTGTGCGCGTTAGACGTGTGGATGCGGAAAGATTCGTGGCAGGCGCAGGGAATCGTGAGGTCGTGAGTTGTGGTAGAGGTGAATGTCGCTGTCACATTGGGATTGGCGTGTGAGGGGGTATTGTTTGGAGGGGCTGGACTCGCGAAATTGCTTGGCAGGGCTGCGTGATGTGTGTGCTCCGATGGGTGTTTCCGCTTGACTTTTGGAGGAAGTCTCGTACGAAATCCTCGTTTTGCAGACTTTGACATGTGAGTTTTGGAGGAAGTCTCGTACGAAACGCTCGTTTTGGAGACTTGACACGTGACTTTTGGAGGAAGTCTCGTACGGAACGCTCGTTTTGGAAACTTGACGTTTGACTTTTGGAGGAAGTCTCGGACGAAGCGCTCGTTTTGGAGACTTGACGCGTGGCTTTTGGAGAAAGTCTCGCACGAAACGCTCGTCTTGTGCAGCCTCGAAGCGTGACTTTTGGAGGACGTCTCGTACGAAACGCTCGCAGGACTGCTTCTAGTGTGCCACAAGAGTGTCCCACAAGAGTGTCCTACAAGAGTGTCCCACAGCCACAAGAGTGTCCCAGAAGAGTGTCCCACAAGAGTGTCCTATGAGAGTGTCCCACAAGAGTGTCCTACAAGAGTGTCCCATAAGAGTTTCCTACAAGAGTGTCCCACAAGAGAGTCCCACAAGAATGTCCCACAAGAGTGTCCCACAAGAGTGTCCCACAAGAGTGTCCAAGAGTGTCCCACAAGAGTGTCCTACAAGAGTGTCCCGCAAGAGTGTCCCACAAGAGTGTTCCAGAAGACTGTCCTACAAGAGTGTCCCAGAAGAGTGTCTCACAAGAGTGTCCCTTAAGAGTGCCCAACAAGAGTTTCCTGCAAGAGTGTCCCACAAGAGTGTCCTACAAGAGTGTCCTACAAGAGTGTCCCACGAGAGTTTCCTACAAGAGTGTCACGCAAGAGTGTCCCACAAGAGTGTCCTACAAGAGTATCCCACAAGAGTATCCCACAAGAGTGTCCCACAAGAGTGTCCTACAAGAGTGTCCTACAAGAGTGTCCTATAAGAGTGTCCCACAAGAGTGTCCTACAAGAGTGTCCCATAAGAAATTCCTACAAGAGTGTCCCACAAGAGAGTCCCACAAGAATGTCCCACAAGAGTGTCCCACAAGAGTGTCCCACAAGAGTGTCCTACAAGAGTGTCCCACAAGAGTGTCCCACAAGAGTGTCCTACAAGAGTGTCCCGCAAGAGTGTCCCACAAGAGTGTTCCAGAAGACTGTCCTACAAGAGTGTCCCGGAAGAGTGTCTGACAAGAGTGTCCCTTAAGAGTGCCCTACAAGAGTTTCCTGCAAGAGTGTCCCACAAGAGTGTCCTACAAGAGTGTCCTACAAGAGTGTCCCACAAGAGTTTCCTACAAGAGTGTCACGCAAGAGTGTCCCACAAGAGTGTCCTACAAGAGTATCCCACAAGAGTATCCCACAAGAGTGTCCCACAAGAGTGTCCTACAAGAGTGTCCCACAAGAGTGTCCTACAAGAGTGTCCCACGAGAGTGTCCTACAAGAGTGTCCCACAAGAGTGTCCTACAAGAGTGCCTTTCAGGAGTGTCCCACAAGAGTGTCCTGTAAGAGTGTTTCACAAGAGTGTCCTACAAGAAGAGTGACCCACAAGAGTATCCTACAAGAGTGTCCCACAAGAGTGTCCTACAAGAGTGTCATTTGGACATATGTAGCTTTTCGAACGTGTTTGCATTCGGGTTCGTGGGCTCCATCTTGTACATGTTTTTTTTGCATTTGTTTACTTTCTACCACCCTGGGGTGGTATGCCACCCGAGGGAAAGACATGGAAAGACCATGTTTGTTAGGAGCGAGGCCACCGGTCGCGCCGAAAAGGCCACGGATGACAAGGTCACCCGCGGACAAGAGCGATTCCGAAGGTCCGGAATCGGTTCCGGGAAGATGGTAAAAGCCGGTCTTCTGGATAAGTTGTATAATTATATAGTAATAGTATGTAATAGTTATATATATATATATATAAATGTAGCATCAATAGTATCAGTATGTATACCCACCCTGAGATTGACACCCCAATAAGAATGTGATTTTAGCAAGCTGTTTTGCTTACAAGCTGGACGTTTAGGTTGAACAGTCCCCCATGGCCCATTGCTTGAGTTGGTAAAGAACTTCGGATTTGGAGTCTCTAGTTGACTGTACCTAAAGGAAAGAAGGCAAACTTGAGTGGTGCCTTAAGCCCCAAAAACGGACCCGCTCTGGTGACCACCATTCTCCATAGAACTGCTGCTTAGCCAACATGAAGTGAGTCCAAAGCCTGTTTTCCTATGGCTCAGGTGACCTTCATCCTCTTCACCTCAGGCTTCTGCCAGCGCCTGGGTTTCCCACCCGACATCGAAGTGGCTGAGGTCCAGCGTTCGCGGCGTTTGGGCCTGCGCCGAGTCAGTGCGTGGAGCGTGGTCAGCCGGAAGACTTTGGCGATTGGAGCGGAGAAGGAGGAGCCGGGGAACATGGGAGCGGTGGTGTGGGAGGCGAGGCGCCATGGGGGCGGAGTAGAATAGGGAGACCTCTCAAAAGCATCTCTCCTGGCACAAGGAGAAGCCGACTGAGACATACTAAGACCCAATGCTTGGAGGGTCCCCCTAGTCTAGAGCACACTCATGTGATAGTTTGCTGTTGCTAGTGACATGATGGTTGTGTGGCATGGGGTTTGGTGAACCATGATGAAATATGCATGGCACATGCGCTTGCCACAACCCAGGTCTTGAAGGCAGAGCTTGTACTGTCCGCGATCTCGGTTCTGAGGTTCCGCCAATTTGACCGACTGAAAGGATTGACCAAATCAAGCCCATCATGCCCAATTGGCATGCAGGGCCGCTTGGCATTTCGGAGTCTTATGTCCTTACATGTCCCCAGCATCTCTTGAACCCCTTGGGTTATTTGGATTGTTGAATGCCCATTGGTCGTAACTATTGGTAGTATATGCGGCCAAGAAACATCAAGGACCCAACGTGTCTAGGCGCCCGCTTCGTTTTGGGATGGTGAGATGGGGCGCCAAGACATTCCAAGATCGCCAGCTGAAAGGACGGCAAAACTCACCTTTCGTGCAACATGTGTGATGCTGGTGCCGTGCTTGGCTTAGTATGTGCATGCTACACCATGCTATACCTAATTCAGCCATGTCGCATTTCGGAGAGCACTCACTTAAGCAAAGTATGAGTGGGAGGTAGGCGACCATATCTTCATAGCCAATGCAGGACATGTTTTTGATTCGGCTCAAGAGGGTGTTGTGTGGAGGCTTTTTCTCCTGACAATATGAAGGCATTGCCAGGAAGGTGTGCCTTAAATATGCCTTAGAGACATGTCACATCATGTTTTTACAGCACTTGTAAGCATTGTAAGCTGTGTCGTGTGGCTATAGGCTACTCTTCCTGCACATAAGTGCGAATCAAGGTGCGCGTGATCTCACCAGTGTCGATGGTGATGATGCAACGCACTTGATGCAACACACTTGGCTTGAACCAAACACGAGCTACCATGAGGAAGTCTTGCAGCACGAGTTGCTTGCGTTGCACTTTGCTTTAAAGATGCCAAGTTTTGCAGGCCTGACCTTGTAGATCTCTTTTATGCCCACGTCATCAATCCATGGCACGTGTGACGAAGATGATGAATGCTGCCATTGCAAGCACATGCCCTGCAACACCTTGTGCAACACCAGTTGGAATGCTTGCAAGTGCAAACCTTGCACCCTTCATTACCTTCATGTAGCACATGCTCATAGTGACTCACACTGGCACTTACATGAAACTGCCACTGAAGCTGCTGCTTTGCTGGCCTCTCGACCCCATCGACCCCTCGCAACCCCTGAGGACCCCGCGATCAAAATAACTGAAGGCCCATGGGCCCTGATGAAGCCCCGCAACTCTGGTTGTTGTGAGAGTCAGGGTTGTCTGGGTGACGGCCCTTGGATTCTTAGGGAGACTTTCAGACTTTCAATTGTTGGCTGCAACCTGAGAGAACGTAGGTTTTTTGTACCAAAAGCGTTGGCCGTCGCCCTGCTGGCCCTGGGAAAGCTGATGTGAGCTGCCAAGCTGATGTGCGCCCAGGAGCTCTGAAAGCATCAACAAAGGAGCGGCTCAGCTCGTAGGCTGCGGTGTCTGCGGGATCCGCATGTCCTTTGAGGTTGGTTGTTTTGTTTTTTGTTTAAGAAGATGTTTGGGGAGCATTTGGTGGGTCTGAATTCTCCACATCACGAGTTTTTGGTGGGGGTGATTGGGTGTAGGACATGAACATGTGTGGGTGGGCCCTCATTAATATCAATGTTTCAGATTTGACCCCAAAGTTTAAGCTAAAGAGGGACACCGGACACTGGATCCTGGTTTTCGGACCCTGCTAAGCTTTTTGAGCCTTAGCATACAGGGGACCCAACTATCGTGTAAATCATAATCCGGTGTTGCCCTTTGGTTTGCCCTACCTTTGGGAGGACATTAGCAGAGTCTGTTTTGACTTGTTGGCCTTCCGCCAGGCATCGATTCTTCAACTGAGCAGAACAGATTCGGGCCAGCGGGGGTGGCAGTTCTGCGATGCCAAGCACAACATCAGAACGTCATCCTTCATCATTCTTTGAAACACAAATCCTCGGAGTCCAGTCGACCAGGTCTAAAATGTTCATTAAGGTGATCTGATCCTCGGAATTTCCTTTACTTTGACGCCCCCCAAAAAAAGTTTTTGGACTTCTAGGGCCAAGATACAAGGATCAAGATAGATTTCAATATGTAGTACAAGACCGAGAGTGATCCCAACAAGCACCACAACACCTGATGGACTTCATTGGGCACCCTGCACTGGAAGTTCACTATCTTCGGGAAATCCTGCAACCATCATCATCGTCGTCATCATCATGCACTGGGCCCCGGTAATGGGATATGCCATATACCCAAACTATCTATCTGTATACCTTGAACTCAATGGTCGCACGTGGATTCATCCATCGCCCCCCCCCCGTGGCCAACATATTACTTTGCAAAAATGTTCAAATCCGAGAGCTTCGAGATCGCATGTGCAGTTTGGAATTTGGCCATTGGGCCAAGCCAACTTTGAAGTCTTTAAATGTCGAGTTGGAATCAGCATGTGGCTTTCCGATCGCTCCAACGGTCAAGTGGCTGGACAGCAGTCACAAACGCATCCAGTGCTTTGTTTGTCAGGCATCCAACTCTTTTCAGAGTTTTATTGGGGAGATGTGAGCCCTTCAAGGGGGCCTGCACGTTTTCCCATGCGATGCCAAGACATGCCAAGCTGGCACTTCTCAAAGAACGTGAAGCTAAGCCAGCCATTGGCTACTCAACCACATGGAGAAAAACGGGATCATTCGGGCCCCAGAACCAAGATCGATCTGAGTCCAACTGTTTTTTTTCATCGAGGGCCGCTGGTCATCATTGGCCCTTCTGCATTCTAAGCTGAATATGATATGGCCTTTTCGAGGGATGACAACCTCAAGACCTTCGTAAGAAGTAGTTGTGAAATAATTCGAAGATACCCTAGAAATCAATACCAGGCACATTGTCCAGCGTACGTATAGGGACACGTGCTGTCCAGGGCTAGGAACATTTGAGAAAGTCTTGCCAATCTAGATTTTTGGATGCGTAGATGTTTGGTGGTTCAAGCCGCCAACGTCACTGAAGTTCTTTGTCGCCGGACATTTTCGATGGAGAACCCGGACATTGACGACCTGGATGAATTTGATGATGAGGACCGTTCGACATCGACGATTCGCGGCCGGCAGGGTGGGGCGTGACGAGTCAGACCTCTTTACGACGTGGTCACAGAGTTGGAGAAGTGCCGGATCTCCAACCACTTCCTCCAAAATCAGGAAACTTTTGGGTCCTAACGTACCTATAGTCAATGGACAACCTGAGTTTAACCAACCCTTTTGGGCATTGGTTTCCAACTGACCTATCTTGACCTTTACTTTCAAGGAAAACTGAGAATGCCACAACTCGTGTTATGGGGTTAGTGACAGTGAGAGTCATGCTAATGCTAACAGCATTTGTAACAGTTTCCAGCTTTCAGGACGAAGAGCTCGGATGGTCTTTGAGCTACCTTGTGATTTGCATCCTGATGCCCTTGTTCAACGGCTTTATGAATGGCTATAGTTGGTCGGGCTATTCTTTGCACTACATCGAAATGGGATGGCCCTTGGCGAGGTGTCCATGACGGCAGTCGGTTGCGGAGGTACCTAATATGTGACCAGTCTACTGCCATGTCCCTCGTTGGAGGGCACAAAACCGGTGTCTCAGCACCCGGTCGGGTATGGTGCTTGGGCCAGTTTAGGAAGCCCAAGTTCCACGCTATGGAAGATGGTTTCTGTATTTACATCGGTGTATCCAACATATATTTTGAAGGGTGGCGTTGGCTAGCAAAACGGCACCACAGTTCGTACAAGACGTACGCCCACGTCCACTTCATAGGTACGCCGGCCCCTCCACATCAAAATCCCTAAGATGGTTGTCTACTTGAGGTCATTCCAAGCAAGGTCAGGGTTAAGCAACGTGTCGCGCTGTTGCTACTTCTGGGAGCGAATTGGTGAGCCGAACCTCGGTTCTGCACCCCTCACGCGAAGGGTTTCAACACCCCCACCTGGAGACAAAGATCGACTAAATGACTAAAAGACTCTAGTTTCTTATGGTATATTTGCTTGATTTGTGGGAGGCACAACGTTGTCGCCGGGATAAAGGTCTGAAGATATTCTCTGCAGCCGAAGATGTAGCTATATAATTAATTAATGGTCTGAAGATGCATCGTGAGCGAGCAAAGGTGCAGTGTAGTTGCACAAGAGAGGTCACGGTAGTCTTGCTTTAAGAGAGACCACTGTGCTAGTCTTTTCACGTTTTCAACAGCAAAACTGTTCCAAACATACGCCCCGACACATGTCACAAACATGTTTCGAATCCGCACGAACTCGCCCACTGTTCGCACTGATGGACCTTGTTTGGGGTGAGGTCCGGATTGTCTTGCCTCATTGGCTTCCTGTTGCGGCCCGTTTTGCAGCAAGTTCAAATCCGCTTGGGCTTGTGGGCGCTTCGATCTGCAATTCATCGATGGTGGGTCAAGGGCGCTTAGCGGTTTGGTTTTGGCCCTAAAACCATCCTCCCCGTTTTGGGGATGCACTTGGTGACCCTGGGCACCGAACTTGGACACACAGGAAACACCAGGAATTGGAGGGTCCAGGTATATCTATATCATCTATCTCATTATGTATCACAAACTTACAGTATAAGTTACAACATTTTATATAATTACAACACACAATACAACGCATCAAACAATATGATATTAAGCTTACACCTTGTATGATCCTTGTATCATAATATAAGATAATATATATATATATATGTACAGTATTATATGTATATAGAACATGTGTGGACTTTTTTTTTAAATGCATACCACGCATCAAACCCAGTTTGTAGCCTTTCCAGCCATCGCTGCCGTGACCCACCTGTGTGGCCACCTGGGGCGAAGACCGACCGGACCGGGCCGAGGGGCAGGACGTAGCGGTGTGTAGCGGTGGTCAGCGGACCCAGACGCAACGTCATGGGACTGGTCTATTGGCCAAAGAGTTGGGGTGGTGGTGCCAGGGGGGGGTCAATGGGACGGCAGATATGGTCATACATGGAGTGTAATGGGAGATGGACCAAATTGCAGCACACAGTTGCCTCGCAGGGTCACTTCAACGCCCTAAGTTCACTGAAGAGCGGAGATCATTGAATCAGGTGGGGCCGCCCCTTGCGGGCCCATCCGGATAGTGTTGGAGGGGTGTGGGGGCCCCTTGTGGGGGGTAAGGAATCCACCTGCACGATAGGCAGTGGTCCCCTTGACCTTGGGCCACCTGGCCTGTGCTGTCGTGGGGCTGATCTACACGGACAAGGACCGTCGTGGGTTGAGGTCACTGGAAGCACCGAACTTCATGGCCTTACTTCTAGGAACAAGAAGCCACTAGGGTGCAAGGACGCTGAAGATGATTATTGTATATTATTGTGTGTCTCATTTCTAATCTCAGCGCGGCGACGACGTCGCCAGCTCCAGGAGTGGGCCGTGAGCATCGAGATGGGCAGTTGGATCGCCTTTGAGCCCGCTATTGCCATCGAGGGCTTGGCCTTCGACGTTTTCGGGAAATCCGAACTCCTGGCACGGCAGGCCTCGTCCACCCTGTGACTTGGTGGTTGAAGGTGTGGGAGGCTATCAAGATCCAAGAGACAGAAGCACCTCAACATCAAAAGGCGTTTTGTGGCAATTGAAAGTTCCGTTGTCTACAAACAGTGTATATATATATATATATGGTCATTGTTTATTGTTCTATATTATTCCGCGCAGCCGAGAGCGTCGCGTGTCTCTGGCGTGCCGGGCATGGTGATTGCAATGCCGCAGGCAACTAAACATGACAAAGAGCTCAGAGCTGCCTTGCCAGCTCACGGGCATACCTCAAAGGTTTCCCTGGAAAAAAGTGCCACAAAAAGTCAGCCACCCGATTTGCCTCATGTTCAGGCCACGGGATTTGAACTGCTTTCATGGGTTTGTGGATCATCGCCAGCCCCAACTACACTCACGCTGACATGCCGCCATTGTTTCCGAAAAAAGAAGCTCAAACACCCTAAGGTTCGAGGCCAAAGTACGACCAACCAACTCACCAGCGGCAAGCGTGTCAATGGGCACCCAGGTGCTTTGCCCTGCCCTCATCGTCCTCTTCTTCATAGCTGTCCGGCCGTGAAGCTAAACTGTGTTTGGCCAAGTGCAAACGGAAAAGACCATGTTTCCCCAAGACCATGTTCTGCGTGTCCTGTTCACGAGCGAGACGAACCCTCTCGCGGAGAACAGTGGAGCCACCTGTGCGCACTGCCGCCTTTGCAGCGCTGTCAGCACAACTGTTACTGTAGCGGGGCCAGGCATCGTGCCGAATCGTGCTCCGTCGACGCCTGTGCAGGGTCAAGGTGGGCAGATACCTGAGCCAGCAGGACACTGCTGGAGAGTCACTCCCACCTAACCTTGAAGTCGCTGCCAGAGATCCTGATTGCGCCACTCAGTCGGTATGAAGCCCTGCCGCATGATATGAGCAAAGCCGTCAAGGGCATACTGAGAATCCGAGTAGATATGAACTTGGCAGGCAGTGTGAGCTGCCCAGTCCAGCGCCATAACTATGGCCCAAATCTCCGCTCTGTCGCTCGTGTGATGCGAAAAAGGAAGCAGTGCAGCAGCTATGGTTTCCTCAGTATTAGCCAAGTAGCAGCTCCAGCCAGCCAAAGCGCACTGAGGGTTCTTTGGCAGATCGCAAGAACCGTCCACAAAAATGTGCTGTGAGTAATGCGGCCAAGCTTCCCAAGAGTCAAGCTGGTCGGACAAAGAATGTTCCGCCGCATGCTGATTGGCCGAAAGTAATCCATGGTGTGTGACATGTTTGGGCAAGGAGTGCCATCTTCGAATCACCTCAGGAAAATGGCTGCGAATGTGACTGAAGCGCTGACAGGACAAAGCCCTGTGTTCCAGCGAGTCAGCGTGTTCACAGAACAAGCAGCGGCCCGTATGCGTGACATCAAATTTGGCCTTGATGCTTTCCAAAAAACTTGTACCGTCCTGAATGCAGTGCAGCAAAGCCGAGACGGCCTTGTCAAGCGAAGTCAGCGCTTGCGTCGTGCAGCGCCTGTCAACGCCATGCAGAGAAGGCATCGTCTGCCAGTGTCGAACTTGCTTGGAAACGACAAAGCTCCAGGCATGTTGCAAGAACTGGTCCAGAAGTTGTCGATCCAGAGTAAGGAAGGCAAGACCAAACGAAGGCGTGATCCAAAGTTGGAAATCTGACGTGAGATGCCAGCCCAGGTCCGCAAGCAGAGAGGTGAGCTTTCCAAAGGGGCCAAAGGTCCGTGAGGCAGGTTCAACATAGGCATACTCACCCCATCATTGTTTATTGTTCTATAATATATTTCATATAATATAATTTGCGCGTTTTCAGAAAAGCCTCTGTGGTACCCCACACAGAACTGAGAAACAAACAACTTTTGAAAGCAACAATGTTCTTTTGTAACGAAAAAGTTTGTTTGAAACTTTCTTTTTTGTTTTTCTGCACTGAGAGAAACTTTGCGAAACATTTTTTCGAACATCTAAACATTTTTTCGAGCATCTAAACTTTGTTTGAAAGTTTCTGAAACTTTTGAAAGACAACTTTTTTGGAAATATTGATCTTTTGAAGAACGTTCACAACTTTCTTGGGAATATTAAATATTAGTTTTTGAAACAGCAACATGTTCAATAGCTTTTCGAGAAATTACTTGTGACATCTCGGAAATGTTTACATAGCAGTTGAGCATCCAAACTCGTCTCGCAGCAGTGCGAAATGGGGTTTTACTGGCGAGCCGCGCAATTGTAATATTGGCTCAAGTTGCCCAGCATGGCAGCTTTAGGGATCAAGTTTTAAACTTAGCGCGACGATATGGTGACGAAGAGGTAGGTCAGGGGTCTGAATCTAGGTCTGCAGCTGTCAGGCCCATCGGTCGCAGACGTTGTGGGGCGCAAGGTCTCCACACTGGTCGCCACAAACGGGTCACCGGGCGAGTGTTGACTAGAAGTACTCAAAAGCGGTGTGCCGGGAAACTTTGTTTTAACGTTCGGAGCCGGCAACACATAAACCACCTGCAGCAGATTCCTGGGAGCCCATGCCAGGCGACAGTCGCTGGCTTCCAAACCTCGATGCGTGGGAAAGAGGAAAACAAGTGGAGCGGGCGGCGAAGACTGCCCCTCCACTGCCCACCATTCCACCGGATTCAATTCTGCGAAGCTGCCTCACATTAAGCTCTTGAACGAGTGGATGACTTTTAGCTGAACAGTAGTTGACACCGGCTGGGTGTGTGGTTCGTGGGTGGGGGTTGCTTCACATCAAAGATGGCTTGTATGCGCACCGATCCTCCCAGGGAAGCCGCGACCTCCATGACGGGGGCGCTCCACATTTACTTGAACAAGGCACTGGAAGACAAGGACGGAGTCGCCAGGATTTCCACCCCACCGCACTGCCACAATTCGTTTCAATGATTTTCAAAGCCAGGAAGTGCGCCTCCGCTTCTACAAGTCTATCGAGACGAAGTTTGAACCCCTACCGGATGAGTGAGCAACTCAGGGCACCCAATCTATGGGACCTTCCCTTCACTGTAAACACATGTTTGTTTTCGTCCAATGGTGGGTGATACTCAGGGTGTATGCGACAGAGTCATTTTTTGCGGTGCCTGGCCCTCACACCTTGCGGCCGTGGATGCTTCCGTATCACCATGAATACGGATTGAGGGAGACGTTCGGTAGTGAACCTAGAAAGCGCAAAGTTGTATTCTTTGCATTCACGTTTTAGACTAAACCTTCGTCAAGTTTCTTGCGTGTGAACCTTTTGCAAGTGAGTTGTTTCGGCGACTCGACGAGGATGTTCTAAAGTGCTTGACCCAACTGGTGGCACTCAACACCTTCCGAACAAACCCGGACCTGCCGGGCGCAGAGAAGTTGGTGGTCACTGCGATGGATGATAAGTGGCTTTCTGGCAGGCGGGTCTACTTCTCATGCGCCAACTTGGGGGTGGGCGGAGGGCTGCTACCACCCCACAGTGTTGTCACGATCAAGGGGTTCAACCGCTCTACCAGCGCTCTTCTCCTGATGCTGGCCTGCTTTGAGACTGTTCGAACGAGGCGCTTGTGGATGTCGAACAACATCGAATTGAAACAACCGTGGGGAACTTGAGATTCCACACCAATCAACATGGTTTTGTCAGGCTCTGCCAAAAGATGTGGTTGAGCGGGGCTCTTAACATGTTACACCGTACCATCACATACACTTGGAATGCCCATGCATGCGTGCACCGTTGAACTGAGATCTTTGAGCGCCATCTAAGAATCTACGCGACCAAGCAGAATGCCGACTTGCAGGAGGTGATATCTTTGAACCGAGGTGCAAAAAGCATTTTGTCATCTTCGGGGGTGGCCCTGACCAGGAAAACCAATTCATTAAATTAATATTATTAGGGGAACCCAACTCAGTTCTATTGACAACCGAAACAGCTTCCCGCGCGCCTGGCAGGTGTGACCCTAGCCGGTGCGCTGCGACGGCGCCCCAATGCCTTCAATCTGTTGCATCAAATGGAGGTGATGCTGAGGGGTGGCTACACCAACACCACAGCTGTTTCCAGCCTGGAGGTGGGTTCAATCTGAGTTTCTGATTCAATCATCTACCAACACAGGTTGATGTTGGAACGTATTGGCGTGGAACCATTGTGTTTTTTGGATTTCTTTTTGGAGAGATCAGCAGTGAACAAAAACATGGGCGTTCATGCCATGTCGGTAGAGTCTTCCGGAGTCTGCCAGGCCTTGGATGCCGCGTCATCCATGGTGCAGGCCTACCAGGTGGGAAAAACCGAGTCTGAGGCCGCGATTGCTTTGAGCCACGTGAGCCCTTCCACCCGCTCACAGAATTGGTGAGGACAGCGCATAGGTAAAAAGATGTTGCTTCCCCTTGGGCATAAACCACAGATCCCCAATTACTTCGGGATTCTTCATGATGGGATTGCCGCTGGAGTTTTCAACATGAAGTACAACGGTGCTGGGGCTGCCTTTGGGGCGTGGGACAAATTCCTGGGGAACACGCAAGAAGTGGTGGACCTCATGCTCAAGCGCATGCAAAAGGACTATGAAGGTTTGGCACCAAGGGCACGGAAGCCATGGGGGCTGACACTCCTTGACTCTTGACGTCAATACATGCGTTCATTCGCGTTACACGCAATGGTTTGGGGGGGAAGAAACAAAGGGTCCCTTGCAAACTGTTTTCGAATTTTGGGACTCCCAGATACGGTGGTTTCCCGATGCAGCTGGCCAAGGAACAACTTCAGCGCTTGTGTGGCATGTTCTTGTGCGCGTTGGTGAGGTTCAAGGAGTCAGTGCCATCAAGCTACTTTGATTCCGTCGCGCCCGAGATCATGGCTACGTTTCTTGTCCATACCCAAAGCACCAAATGTCAAGATACTCACAACCGACAGACTATAAGAACCCTATGATATGGATATTATGTGTGGTCTTCACACCTCTGAAGCTTTTGCTCCAATGCCCGTCTTCCAAACTAAAGTAGAATACCGTAAATCTGGTTGAGGGGGATTAAGAACCTGTGGCAGGTTCTTGCACAGGCACGCAGACGT